AGAATTCCTGTGCTTAGACATGTTATGGGCCTTCTTTGATATGAGACAGGGACCAAAGCCAGCATCAGAAGGCCCTGGATCACACAGGCAGTCAGAGTCAGTAGCAAGCATACTGAGCAAGCATCAGAGCAGTGGGATTTAAGGGGCCCTAAGAAGCCCCCTGCCACCACTGCTGAGGCCGGCAGTGTTACTGCTGGAGAGTCATTCCCCGAGGTTAAGCTAACAGCAGGTTTTTAATCAGGGAAAGTAGGAAGAACTTGGAGGAGAGTGAGCCTTACTGAGAAGGGGTCCCTTTTGTTATGCCAAAGGTTAATACAAGGACACTGGGTAAGATGTGGCCTAAAAGAAACTTGAGGGGAGAAAAAAGGAAAGTTACAAAGAAAGGATACAATGTACAATTCTGATAGTGTGAACCTAACTCTGAATTTTTCAACCTTGGCGCTGTTGACATTTGGGGTCATATAATTCGTTGTTATGGGCGGGCTATCTGGTCCTGGGTGTCCTGTGCAGAATGAAGATTAATGACACTGTTGGAAGGTACCCAGAGAAAAGCTCCCAGTTGAAAGGGTCCCAGAAAAATAAGACATTTCCTCAAGAGGATAACTAGTCTAATAATAATATTATACGATGTTTAGAAGCATCCCTGGCCTCTACCCAGCAGGTGCCAATAGCAACAGTAAAAACTTGTGGTAACATTGCCAAGTAACCTCTGGCAAGTGGGAAGGCAGAATTCTCCTTGTTGGATAACTGCTGCCTGAAAGAACCAATTTGATCCCTAAGCTGGGCAAAGCCTTTCCATCTCTGCTACCAGTCCACCTTTCCCATTCTTCTGCTCCTTTTCCAAAGAACTGCACAACAGTGGGAAGACTGAAAGCTCATCAACATACACAGAAAGAATCAGAACTCCATGTTTTAATTGTAATAATCAGAGCAGAGAAACCCATCAGGAAGATGTGAAATGAATGCCTTTCCACTCAGAATATTTTTATCATTTGATAATTCCAAAAGTCTTGATTCTATCTTTGTTTCTAGGGATATTTTATTCTTTGTTCATTATACAAGACCAATTCCAAAAACAGATGTCCAGTAAGACTCAAAAAATATGTGCCCAATTTAATGAATGCTTATGTGAGCGACCCAAGAAAGCCAATAGTCTAAATAAGTAATCAAGGAACTCTGTTATGCATAAAAATTGAGTTATTTTTACAATCAGAGATACTGAAGAATGGGTTTCTAATATCTTGGCTCAGGTGAACCAAACCCTTTTCCTTCCCTTCCATCCCTTTCCCTTTGTCTTTTCTCTCCTCCCTTCTTCCCTCGCTCCCTCCCTCCCTCCTTCCCTTCCTTCCTTCTTCCTTCCTTCCTTCCTTCCTTCCTTCCTTCCTTCCTTCCTTCCTTCCTTCCTTCCTTCTCTCACTCTTGCTCTCTTTCTCTCTCTCTCTAGGCTCTCTCTCTTTTTTCTTTCCTTGTTAGTATAACCATGCTTTCTTCTACAAGAACAAAAAGGAATGTGAGAAGTAGAGATTATGAAGCATTAATTAGGAAAAAAAAAAGTTCTGCATCATTTGTGCAAATGGTACAACTGAATCATGAGTGTCATGGTATGACAGAGTCAGAAGCCCAGAAAATGGTGATTTATATTTCTTCTACTGACTTCTGATTTAGGATTATTATAAAATCTGTAGGAGAAAAATTGCTCTTAGAGTTTAAGCTAATGAACTGAAACAATCTATACGAAAGGCAGTTTAATGAACATTATAAATGAATGATGTATTTCTACATAAAATATGAATCTTTTCCCCTTATTTACTTGTATTGGGTTGCACATTAAACAAATGGTGACTGTTATAGGAGATAAGAATAAGAAAGCTTATCTTCTGGCCCTTTTGTGCTTCTAACTGTATGACCAGGAGTATGGCAATTAATCTCTCTGAGCCTCAGTTTCCCCATTTGTGAAAGTTAGGAGATTGGATGAGATTATTCTTAAGAATTCTTCCATCTCCAAAGTTTTATGATCATGGGGAAAATATAACTCAAATCATCAGAAACTGAATGAAAATACTGTGCAATTCTACCAACTATGGAGGGAAACTTCTCTGCAGCACTCATAATCTGTGCGCCAGAGCTACAGGGTTATGAAAGTAAAAAAGGCTTCTTTTATTAATCAAAGCTCTTCCTGTAAAGTGTACTGCTCTTAGATTCTCCTTGAAATTAGAATATCTATCATTAATTTTCAGATGGGATGAGCAAGTTTGAGAGTCCACTAGGTACAGCGTTGAGAGCATCAGTTGTTATGTTATGGCAGGGAGCTCTTCAATAGGAAAAGAGGGCAGGAATACAGAGGCACAACAAATTCAGAACTCCAAATGCTCAGCCACAAACATCCAAGAAGGGCTCTGCAGTGATATTTTGACATCTATTCTGGAAGATCGTTTACTGCAAGTATGTGAATGTCTGTTACTAAAATTCAGAGAAAATAAATCCCAATCTTTATCAGAGAAGTAGTCCTGCTTGGGTCTTGTGGGAGCTCTTGAAAAGGTGCAGCCTCGATGCCTTCAGCCACAAGGCAAACCTCCATCCAAGGAGTCATTTCTTCAAGGTTTTTGCACAGATGCTAATAGTAAAGTGTGGAGGGGAAAATGCATAGAGGTAGAATTTAAACATTCATTCCCTTTATAGAAACCCTGCAAATGTGCTGACCTTACATGGTCTAACATGAAACGTTTTGTCAGAGATCACCTGACTTGGGACTACAAAATAAAAGCCAGTCATTTTTTCTAGGAAATCCAACTTTTAATGTACAAATATAAATTCTCCAATGTGTAGACCTGCTCGTAGTAGATAGGAAATTTAAGGGCAGGAACGTGTGTCTCTTCTGTAAGTGAAAGCAGAGAAATAGCGGTGCAAGTTGGAAATACGGGTGCATCGTGAAGAAAATATATTCCATCATCTGCCAGATCTTGAAATTCTTGGCTCTGGTTCTTCAGGCATAAAAATCATGGCCTGAACAGCTTTTCTTAAAACAATTTTGTTCTTCCTTGACTTCCCTACAAAGGGATACTTCTGTTATATCATTAGGTACTTTGGAATCGTAAGGGAAAGTGCTCCCAAAGTAGTAAAAAATAAACTAATTTATGGGATTTTTATTTGTAAGGAAAATACACTGGCAGAGGTACAGCCAAAGCAGGAGAGCCTCTGTAAGGGATGACAGTTAAACTGGTTTTGGATTTACAGCCAACAGACAGGCTCAGAATGGAAATGAACCTCTTGAAAATACCCTGCCCTGAAGAAACACTCCTCGTTTGTCACAAGGCCAAATTATGTGCCGTGTACTCTTACTTAAAATTTCTAACATTTTTTTAAGCATATAAGGAAAACAAAAAGAATTACTAAGAAGCACAAAAATGTACACAGCTTTTTAAGCCTCTAATGCCAAAGAATCAGCAGGCTCCTTGAAAATGGCTGGCACTTTTATTTTTAATGAGCACATTTTGAAATATCACTCTCTGAGATGCAGCGGTTCTATCTTTGTTTTTGCTTATTTGTTAACCATTACAGTGGAACTTAGACTTACTGATATCACCAATATTACAGCAAACTGTGCATTTACTAAAACTTGTTCTTTTATATTCTTTTTGTGTGTTGAAAATTATCTCTCTAGTCCTCCTTCAAGACACACTGCCCCTCAGTGTGTTAAATTTGTCAAAAGAAAAAGTGCACAGTTGTTCCCATAATGTAGAAATATTTAAGATGAACTGACAAAAAAGCAAAAATTTGTAAATCCATTGGCAACACTATATTAAATATTAATATATTTTTTACCCTCAGAATATCTTTGGTAATTTTCCGTTGACTGAAAAGTCACTTGTCATTATTTTTTATTTCCATCATTTTGTTTTTTATATAAATACTATATCTGAATGTAGAGGAAGTTCCCTTTACTCTAACTGATAGACAGGCTATCAAGTGGTACACAGTATGGTCAGTACAATAAAGGCTTAGAAGAGAATATACTAATATAAAGACATACGGTAACCCTTTCGTTATAGATTCATATGTTTTTACTGGGAAGTGTTCTACAGCTCCTTTCCCTGGAAGCTTCTAAGTATTATTTATACATCCATCTGATGAAAATTATAAAGTTGGAGGTAGAGTAAAAAGTGACAAGAATAACATTTTTAAGTACTCTCCAGTTTTATGATTCTATGTTTTTCTAATTTATGATAATTTTATGTTTCTTGTATTTACAAAAATAAGAAAGAAACCCAAAGGAATGTCTTATTTCACACCCACATTTCCTCAAACCCCATTGCCTTTAAGCTACTTGTCTAGCACCATTTTCTTCCATATTTTACAGGTAAGAACCTATAAAATATGAAGTGAGTAGGGCGTCTTATCCCAGGACCACCTTAAGATACTGCTAACACTCAAGATACATCTGAACATCACTCTGGATGGTACTGAAGGGAGTCATATTTCATAAAACAAACGTAAGCAAAATTTGATGTAGTTGCTCAACTGCACTTGCCAGAGGTATAAAGAAGTTTAATTCTCTTTAATAGTCTCATTTCCTATCACTCTAAGAATCTATGTCTGAAAATCATCACATTATTTATGTCATTATTCCTCTATTCAAAAACCTACTGTCATATAAAGGAAATGTTATTTAGGGGTTGTTCCTCAGATTTGCCATAGAAGTCACACAAGTTTTGAGTATAAATTCTGTTCAAGTATAAAATCAATATAATAATGATTTGGTTCTTTTGTTTTTCCTTGTCTTCCTTAAAGAAAGTATAAAACTTACTCAGAGCAAGCACGTATTCTTTTCCTTAGAACAGATTCAAAAGTAACTACCAGACTCAAACCATATGCTTTTGCTTATGACCTGTTTTGTTGTAAAGGAGTATTTATGGGATACTTCTCCAAAAAATTAGTTTCTTTTAGAAACTTTTAAATTTAAGACATAGAAAGATTTTATTTCACAAGTAGCCATTGTTTACCTGTACATGAATAATCATCAATTCTGATGTATCCAGTTTTGCAGATGCACATGAAAGATCCTGGGGTGTTGACACACATCGTGTTCTCGCGGCAGTAATGGCGCCCTTCAGCACATTCATCAATGTCTATGAAGAAAAGGTAGGGTGAAGATGTCATTAGTAGCCAATATCCTAGAGTCTCTCTGTAGTTTTCTTTGGTGAGGAGAGGGCAACAGTTACTAATTAAAAAGCATTTTTAAAAATTATTCAAAACATCTTCTTTAATAGGAATGCTTGATGTTCAAATGACAGAAACCAAAAAAAGTTTTTTCCAGCTCTTGCTGTAGTTTCAAAGACATCTGTTTCAACTTGCATCATTCTAAATATAATTGGAAATTTTCCGCGCACTTATTTACTTGTGCTTGATGAAATGAATCAGAAAATACACATTGGGCTGCCTTAGAGTCTTGGAAGCTTCCATCGCTGAGTTTATCATATATCATTTTTTGATTCACTGGCTATTCTCTACACTTGGCGAGACCTTGCAAGAGGTGAATAAAATATTCAATATACACCAGAACTTTAATAACCTCACTTAAAAATGTGAAACCAATAACATGTAGCTTATTAGAGATACAAGTAGAGATATAGCTATCCCAGTAAGTATCTGAACAGAGGAAATTACAGCACAGAGATCTGATATAAATAAGAAGCTATAAAATAGTCAAACAAGATAACAAATTGAAGAACTTTCATAGTAATTCACACACCAATTTTTGAGTGTAAAGACTTACAAATGCTAAGCCAAATTATGCACTAGTATTAATTGGGAAGAATGTAAATTTTGACACTAAAACTGTCCCAATTTTATAGTATCTCTCTGCATGGAAAATAAAGTATTTTACAGGTGTTTTATAATTATGTAATACTCTTTATTATGGGCCTTCCTGCATTGACCAGTCAAGATATTTCTCCTCCAGAAGTCTGCTTTCTCAAATGCTTGTGGTGAATCCACAAACTAGCATTGCCCTCATTTGCACTATTAAGAGAAATGGATCAATTATAGGAGATAACCAGGTAAGCCACCACTACAGAAGTCATGTTATTCATATAACCTCCACTGTGGTCCCAGTCCTGAGAGTATCAATGGAAGCAATTGACACAATCTCAGGAAGTTACATTTTAGAGCTAGCGGGCCCTTGGCAATCATCTGAGCTAACTACAATTTTTATAGATAGAAAAACTATGCCCTAGGGAGACTCAATCTTCCATTCAACTTCTAAATGAAAATCAAAACAATAAATTTCAAACCTCTTAGCATACAAAGTCCTTCCCAGTTTGGCCCTTACTTTTCTGCTTTTATATCTCCTTTTCCCTCTCAGTGTTCTGGCCACACTGAGCTTCTGATCATTCCTTGAATTAGCCACGCTCTTTCATACTTACGACTTTGCAAGTGCTTGTTCTCTCTACTCCTATCCCTGTCATCGCTCCCAGTACATCTCATCCACCAGTGGAAGCATCCTTAAAGAATCTGCTTAAATGTCTCTCTGTAGAAAATTCCCTAATGAACTAAAATGCTCCCTATGCAGTGTTCCCTTGGAATTTGGTAAATGTTTCCATTATAGATTTATCCATTTCATCATTATTAATTTTTGTGACCTTCTTCTCCCCAATAAATTATAAATACTCCTCAAGGATAGGGATCATCTATTCATGTTACTTAATTCTGGCTGCATGTTATATTTATCTGGGATGCTTTAAAAAAAAACATTGGCTCTTGGGCTAACTCATAAACCTTCACTCCAAATTCTGATTTAATTATCAGTGGTAGAACACAGGCAATGACTTTTTTTTCAAATCTTCTCCATGATGAGTCTAATGCAGGAGTCAGCAACATTTTTCAATAAAGAGCCAGATAGTAAATATTTTAGGCTTTAGGAGTTAGGCTCTCCATTGCTTTTTAACTCTGTTGTTGTAACATGAAGACAACCATAGATAATACATATGTAAATGAGCCTGGCAATGTTCCAATAAAACTTTACTTACAAAAACAGATGGTGAATCAGATTTGGCCCGCAGACCACAGATGGATGACCCCTGGTCTAATGCATAACCAGGGTTAAGGATCACTGAGCATATAATTCCTTTTTGTATCCACAATACCTTGTAGGTGTCCAGAATATTATGAGTTCAATAAATGCTACAAAATGAATGAATAAATGCTTCAAGGAAGGTATAAGAATGGCTCTCAAATTTTCTGACTTCTAGTATAATATTATTCTATTGTATTTCTGGTATAATAGTCTCAAGATAACATGCAACTTCTAAATGTTTGCTCTAGTCTGCAAGGAAAGTATCACATTCAAATACAACCTAAAAATCAAAACTATAAGCAACTTAAGAGAATATGATGGAAACTCATTTGCTTGCAGGAATATAATAGGAATGACATGGGATAATTAATGTGCTCAGCTGGATCGATGGACTTTAACCCTACCCCTCTGAGAGGGTTCTGTGGAGGAATGAGTTACTGAAAGCCTTTGTAGGAGTCCCCAGGGCTTCAGCTTGGGAGCTAGAGGGATGGCCATGAAGAAGTCCATGTGCACAGAGGCATGAAACATTTACCTTTGGGGATAAAAGAGCCAAGAATAATGAACATAACTCAGTGAAGACATCATGGCTATCAGAGGGAAGAATCATTGAGCACACTGTGGCATTCCTCAAAAGAAGAGCAGTTCCTAGTGAGAGAACATAGATCCTGGTAGAGTCAAGGAAGTAGCTTCAGTGCCTCGAGTAGCACTGAGTTCTGGCTGGAGCAAGCACTCATTACTGAGGGCGCTGGACCTCTCCGCAAACAGTATCCTAGAGAAGGAAATCTACCCCAGCACGAGTAGCTATCAAACCTGGCAAATCAAACTCACAAGTACATGTGAAGCACCCTTGCTCCCTCCCAAGATACTTAAGGAATGGGAACTTGAAGAGTACTAAGTCCCATGGGAGGAGATAAAAAAGAGACAGTGAATTAGGGTTATTTCTGTGTATGTGACCCTATTTACAGCCACAAATTATGGGATCAACTGGTTTATAAAATAGAGATAATCTATGAAAGAGTAATACTGTCCCTAACGATTGTTGTTGGGTTTACATGCCGGACTGTTGGCAGACATTGCCATCCAATTTTCTTTTCCAGATGTTTCCCTTTTAAGCTATCATATGATCAGAGAAAACGTGAAGTTGGATCATAAAGCAAAAACAAGCATCTTCTTTAATGTGATTTGTATCAGGCAGGGATACTGGATTCATGACCAAGAGAGATGAAGTGTCAGCCTTATTTCCTGAAGTAGTATTGTGAGGGGAAAAGAAGTAAAATCACAAAACATACCATCACAGCACTGTATACACAACCTCCAATTGCCTTTTTAAAGTTCTCAAGCCCGTTTTCAGAAAAGGAACTCCCCAAAGAGCTGCATTTACATACTAAAATTACAAAGTTACATAAATGTCATTTCTATTTACATGTGCAGATAGATACTCACAGGCACAATGATGGCATGACTGAAAAAGTAATGTGGTGGAAAATCATGTTCAAACAGTCTAGGGTGTATTTTAGTTCCAAATCCCAGTTCAAAAACTTAATGAGTCAAATTCTCACAACTCAATTCATTTCTTTACACATGTATTGAGTGTTTTCTATGTCCAAGTCACTTTACTAGATTTTCCGTCACATCGATGACCCTGAGAGTTAGAACTACAACCACAGGTGGATAGCACCGCGGATGGAGCATGCTTCAATATAACTTTCTCCTAAGCAGAGGGAATTGCACAAAGTTGGAAAGGGCTGCCAAATGGAAATTTTCAAACATGCTGTAGAGATTCCAGCAAAGGGTATATTGCTGGACCATGTGGCTTTTAACGTCTCTTCCAAAATTTAGTACAAAGAGAGTTAAAGCACAGACCCTGCCTTCAAAGGACTTAACGATACAGGAAACAGTGGCATCATCATCAGCATCCAGTCAGGTGCCTTCTGTGTCTTAAACCTGCATTTTAGAGAACAGTATCTCCAGAGATTTGTGGTTCCTTGAAAACAGAGTATTGCACCATCAAATAAGTTCCTGGACCACTTTATTGCTACACAGCTCCCTTCTCCCTCCTTAAAATTCACAGTGAACATGAGCAAATTACAGGCTCCAAAATTACTAGTTGTTTTTAACAAAAGCTTCACTCATTTATTCAACAAGCATATAATGGACAAGCACCATGTCCAAGCACTGCAACAAATTCTGGCTGGAGAAATAACTTAAACAATAATATTATGAAATGATGCATATTATATAACAGAAACATATACAGTGTGCATTTCATAGGTAGCAAAGACTTTTTTTAACACAGTTTGCTTGTTCTGAGCACCTATTAATGTGAAACACATTTAGGAAAATACATTTGGTGATATAAATAATTGTATGACTCTTCCCTCACCCAGCTTGAGGCGCTGACAATAAAATTAAGAAGCCAGGACATAATTACATGAATAACAACCTGAGATTTTATATGCTAAGTGTCAAAAGAAATCAAGAAAGAGAGAATGAGAGGGGGGTTGGGAGGGAAGGAGAGAGGGGTGGACGAAGCTAGGAGGAAGAAACAGATGGAAAAGAGGAAACAAAAGAGGAGAAAGGAAGGAAAGAAGAAAGCATGCACTGCAAGGACTGGTACTCGGAGGAAAGTCGATGGCTAAGGGCAGAGATAACCTAGGAAAATTGGATGGGATAGCACGGCGTGGTGTGGATTCTGAAGTAGGCTTAAAGTGACAGACTTGCCCAAAGTCGGAGGAGGCTGCCAAAGAAGAGAGTTTCCTGTCAAACAGAGATGTTCAATGATGAATGGAAGTACTGTAGAGATTCAAGTCCAGTGTAGACAGCACAGACAGCAAAACGTGAAACACAGAGAAGCAGCAAATATTCCATTTGATTGGAGTTTGAGCAGTTAAGAAATGAAAATACAGTTATGGGATAGGAGACACAATGTGACTATGCTTAAATGTTCAACAAATGTGAGAAAAAAATACCTTATTTGCTGTGATATGAAGACATTAAAGCATTTGGAAGGAAGGGGGTGGGAAACTGGCATAGAAAAGTAAATCTCACAAGAGT